AGAAACGTGTGCAGCGGTGAAGATTGGGCTTCTAAGTTGTCAGTAGCTTCCAGTGCGACCTTAAACTCTTCCCCACTGCCAGCATGAGAGCCTTGGCCCAAACAGCAGGGGGCAGGGGACTGTGTGGCAGTTCTGACATTCTTCACCCCCATGGTGGCTGCTGGAGACCTGTTCTCACACCAGGTGGCCCCAGTTGGCTGTTGTGAAAAGGAGAAAGCAGGGAAAGGAATGTGTCCGCTCTTTCCCCGTCCGGGTTGAATAGGCGGTGGACTTTGGCAGCTTTGCTTCTGCAGAAGGCCTTGTGTGTTCTGTGACAGCTGTTGTGAATGCTTGAGCTTCTCAGAGGCCAGACACCTGGGCATGTGTTCCTTGTGTTTTAGGAGGGGGACAAATGGAAACCCCTCAGGAATCTGGGCACTGTGTTGAAGTCAGACATGGGTGATTGCACAGCTTGTGTATGGGGTGAGGGAGGCTGACCTGCAATTCCTCCTGGATTCCCTGGCTTTACTCCCGGAGCTCAGACTGAACCGTCAAAGGGGCTCTGCGACATCTGGCTCCAGCACTTCAAGGGGCTGAAAGGCTCCAAACAGAGGACCACTTCCGTCTTGTGCCTCAGATTTAAAACATGAGATTAAATGAGAACAGCTGTGTCATTGCAGGGACCTTGAAAGAGAGGACAGCCCTCTGTGGTTGATGAGGCCTCGCCCCTTTGTAGGTGAAGCCCAGATGGGAATGGCAGTATCAAGGAGTCGAGTAGGGAGAAGGAAGAATAACTCCAATTAGGCGATTCAGAGTTGAGTTTGAGTCAGAGTGGTTTCTCTAAAGACATCTAGGCTTAGAACCTGATCAACCTGAAATGTTTTCTAGGAGTGGAACTGCAGAGTGGCCACCTGAGCAGAGAGCAGTGTTGGCCAGATGCAGACTCTGCTTTTCTGACCCATAGAAGCTTATTCTAGAAATTTGTGAACACGAAATGAACGACTCTAGATAGAAAAAACAGTTATTGTGGCATTAAGAGCCTAAACCAAAGCACAGAAAACATCCCACAACTGCTTGGTATTTTCAGATATCTGGGTTATAGGTGGTATGATCTGTTGATACAGGAAAATAAAAACTCCCAACCTGAACAATATCTGGGATGAGTTTGTGCTCTCTAAAATGGAAGAATGAATTTTAGGAAGAATGGAGGTTAAGAGCAGAATATATTTATTGAGGGAAAGAAAGCTTCTGTCCAAGAGAGGAATAGAAGAAGGCCAAGTGGGTTGCCCAAGACTCTGTCTTTTCTAGGGACTTTTATAGAGCAAAACCACGAGGTGAGGCGGCTCTAAGATAGGGGGAAAATGGGAAATCACAAGGTGGGCATGAGGTGGGACAAAACTATGGTCAGCCAATAAGAATTGTTTAGGTAAAATTGATTAAATTGGGATCAAATGGGGAAGCGAGTCACACAGCAAGCGGTTATGAATACAGAACAGGGGCTTTTCCTGTAAGGGGTTGGGTCAGTGACTCTTCAAGGTGATCGCTACCTATTTAGAATATCAATCCCTGATGTCCATCCCTAGGGAGGTATGTGGGTGCATTTGTTTAGTGCTTTGTCTTGAGGTCTGGCCCACAGCAAATAGGTCTTACCTTGTCTTTCATGTTGGCTCCTTGGAGGGCCTGGCCCAGTCTGACTGCCTTTAATATTTCTATCTAACTCAGCTGCCTATAACAGTATCTCCCAGTTCACCTGATATGACCCCAATTTTCAGCTCTTGTCCTGATAAAATAGTCAATAGCCTTTCTCCTCTTCCCTTTCCAAAGTTTTCTGTTTTAGATGGCGAATTTTGTCTATCCTCGGTATGGGTTATTCTGGTTTTGTTTTCTTGTTTTACTATTAAATAGTAAATAAACACTATTTTTCAAATCAGGTAAAATAGAAAGTTATTCTCACTTTGGTCGTCTGTCCCCTGCCCTCCAGAACCCCATCTGAGGGCCATGTAGGCTCCACCACCAGGGCTCTCTGTGAGGTTAGAAGAGCAAAATAGAGCCTTGCGAGGGTGTTCCAGGTCATTCCTAGGAAGAAACCTGTCCCTGACTTGTAGGAACCTTTGCTTTAAATCAGGCTCGAAGCTTACTCCTGAATCCGAAACTATCTAGTGCTCGCCAGTGACAAAGCCAGCATTCTCCTCCAGAAAATAAAGTTCTGATAAGATAGTGGGAATGATTTAGTAAGAAGAGGAAACTGGACATTTCATAACTTGGGGAAAGTTTTCCAGTTGCCAGAAATATTTTGTGCAGAAAGCCCCGCTACAAAGTTGCCATGCCAACTGTTTCCTAGTTCACATTTGCTTTCAGGCGGGGTTCAAAGTCCTAAGAGTCGTGCATGTGTGTGCGTGCCCAAGTGTGTTCAGTCAAGACGCATCTCTGCAGGTAACGTTAGGGAAGGAAAACAGAATAATACGAAAAAGCAGGTATCGGGCCTGTTCATTTCCTGTTGCTGCCATAGTTTGTTAACAAGTTATAACAACACGGGTGGCTGAAAAACAGAAGTGTCCCTCTCACAGCTCCGGAAGCCCAGAGTCAAGGCGTCGGGTTGAGCTGCCCTTGGCCTCTTCAGCTCTGCTAGCTGTCGCCTTCCTTGGCTTACAGCTGTGCCTCCATCTTTGTCCCGTGCCCACACTGCTTCCTTCCTCTGAGTGTCTGTTACAGGACACTCGTCACTGGATCTGAGGTCCACCTGGAGCTCGGCTCTCCTCATCTCAGGATCATAATCACACCCGTAAAGCTCCAGGGTGTAGGAACTGAATAAGCATATCCTTTTGGGGCATCACCACTCAACACACTGCACAAGACGATCGGAGGAGTGCTCATTTAGATGTTTGGAGGTGGCATGGCTTGTGGTCACATAGCTGGGGCCTTGTGTTTGTCCCACAAAATTCTTCTTTCTCTTAAAGTTAATATGAGAGGGAAGAACAAGCACTTACTACACCTAAAGTATTTCTGAGAAATGCCGCGGTGAACTGAAACACTCTAGAGTGCCGCTTTCTGGATTGCTTTTCTTCCCTTTCCTTCATCCTTGAGGCTTGACCTAAGCGCACAGTTCTGTGAACCCAGAGTGCTCAGAGGTGAGCCAGCTCTTGTTGCCTGGGCTCCACCTCACCTCGATCTCTCCCTGCTGGGAAGTCACAGCTGCTCTGTCATTATTTATGCTGGATCTTACTAGCTGGTACCAGGTAGGGGTGCAGTCATTTTCCTCAGTTTACCCCTTGAAGAGTCTTAGAACAGAATATATCTTTGAAAGGTAGGAGGACTGGGGCAGGGAAAATGAGGACAAAATAGGGGCGGTAGAGAGAAAGGGGACAGAGTGACACGTTTCGGGTTGTTTCTTTCCATTCCTGTGCTGTGAATTCATAGTGGAATACGAATTTGGATCAACGGAATGAAGGAAAATTTATTTTTATTACTATGTTAAGTGGAATTCTGTATAAAGTCTGTCTTTCTGTTTTTTGCCTTCTCCTTAAAGGTGTGCCACGTCATCACCGGGGTGAAATCTGGAAATTTCTGGCTGAGCAATTCCACCTTAAACACCCATTTCCCAGTAAACAGCAGCCAAAGGACGTGCCCTACAAAGAACTCCTAAAACAGCTCACCTCCCAGCAGCACGCAATCCTCATTGACCTGGGTGAGTCTGTGTCAGTGACTGGGGGTGGGAATGGAAGGGCCTCTCGCTTGAAAAATCTGAAGAGTCTATCCAAGGTATTTAGTGATCTACCTGGAGACTTGGCAGTTAAAATTTACTACTGAGACCTAATTTAAAAAGCCCTGCCAGGAGTGGTGCCATACGCCTGTAATCCCAGCACTTGGGAGGCTGAGGCAGGAGGATCATTGTGAGTTTGAGGCCAGCCTGAGCTACAAAATGAGCTCAAGGCCAGCCTAAATTGCGTACTGAGACCCTGTCTCAAAAAAGACAAAAAAAGAAAAATAAAAAAAAAAGAAAAATAGAAAAACCCTAGAGTAATCACAAATGTCTTCCTCTAATATGTAAAGCCTGTTTCACTGGGCGGCTGGCTCACTCTGCTTGGCATGGGGTTTTCATTGAGTCATAACTGGTTCAGTTCAGTAATTTAGATATCCATAGGACATTTTTATAGTTAGCCAAAGGAACGTCCTGGGAGACATATAGCACGGTTTAATTACAGGGGCCACTCCCCTGTCTTCACTGCTCACGAACAGAATTCATCAGGAACATTGTGGAAAGCTGTGTGAGTGCCTGAGGCGATTTTATTTTGGAAAGACGCAACACCTTGTCTCCTGACAGTTTTAGAAACATGAGACCAGGAGCAGTGTATTGGATACACGTGCCGTTGCCACGGTGAAGGACTCGCTGGATTGAGATGTGATTGAGGTACATGAAGGCCCCCTTGACTGTCAGCAACCAGGCAGAGGTGGAGGTGGCTGTGGCTCACCCTTGCCTGCTGTGTCTCCCAGCGGCTCCTGTCTCTGTCGGAGGAGCCGGCTCTGTGGCGGGAGATCAGCGTGTGGCTGCGGGGGGAGCCTGTGGCCCTGCTTCCAGAGTGCCTGTTCCGGTTGTCATGCTGCCTCCCCAGGGCCCTGCTGCGGTCTGGCTCTTTGGGTTCTCACAGCCCCCAGCCACAGTGGAGGTGACAGCACGCTGGGTCAGGCGCAGCCAGGCTTTGTCCCTCAAACCACACGGTAATCTTACGGTTTCATAACCCTTGGGTTACTCTGAGGGTCTGTGCTTCAATGTCATCTTTGAGAAATGCCCCTGACTGTAGTCTCGTCTCCCACGGCAGACTAGATTAATTGGCTCGGCCAAGTTCACAGCCCACCCCACGCTCTCTCCCCGTGACACTTCCCACATTTATTATTATTTAAAGCTGGTTCTCAGCTTTGCTTCAGTTGACTGTGGTGTAAAGTTTTCTTGATCTCCTTGTGTTAATCTTCACAACAGTATTTGATCTGCTTTTATTAATCCTCACAACACTGTCAGAAAATTGGAACAGAGAGGTTAAGTGACCTGCCCCAAACGAAACACCAGTTTGCTGCTGGGCCATGTGACCTCAGAACCTCTCTCCCCCTCCCCCGTGCCAGGCAGCCTTTTTGGGGTGGACGGGGCCATTTCACCACTCTACCTTCAGCCCCGGGTAGTGCTGTCACATAGTAGGCACATAGTAAAGCTTTTTGAGATGCTGCCTGTGAAGCACTGTACACATGCTGCCACCTCCTGCAGCCCTGAAAAGCTGGCCCTGTATCCTCTAAGAGATAAGGAAACCGAGGCACAGGAAAGTCATGTGTGGGCCACAGACCCACAGCCGTCTGGGGCGAGGCCAGGACCGAAGTCCACCATCACACTGTGCCGGAGTAAGGCCTGCTCCCCCACGGCCCCTGAGCCCAGAGGCCTGCGCTGCCGTGGAAATGGCTGGCCAGGCGAAGGGTGCACCAAAGCCATGACGGGCTTTGGTGGGGTCAGAGTCCACTGACCCTGTGGACAGCAGTTTGTTGGGTTGGCCGTAACTGTGTTTGCCAGTGTGATGAGTAACAGAACAAATGACATCATGTTCCTATCATGTGCTGTGAAGTGAAAAGGACATTTAGGGCTGGAGGTTGAAAGGGAGGGGGTGTAGAAGGTCTCTGTTGCCCTCCGCACTCCTTTGTAGGAAAGGAAGAGGAGGAAACATAACCTTCTTGGTTCCAATGTCGTCTTCTCTTAGTTTCCCTTCAAAAACCCCCTCGTGCCCCCAGGGGCAGAGCCAGCCCTCTGCCTCCTGTTGCTCAGGCACAGTCACCTTCTTGCAGTGGGAGGAGAAAGGTCAGATCAGCCCCAGGCCCCCGCCTGCCGGGCCTCTCCCGGAAGCTGTGTCCTCTGAGCGGCACCACAGGCAGCCTCCCATGCTGCCAGAGGCCCCTGGTCCACAGACAGGCTGGGCTGGGCTGGGCTGCATCCTCTCTGTCTCTGCCCATCCCTGCTGTCCCTGCTGTTGCCCTTCTGCACCCCAGAGGCCAGCTGCAGCTGCCCCGACCTGACAGCACTGACCACTTCTTGCTCAATTCTGAACTGGCCTCCCTTTGGGATGCCCTCCCAACACCCCACCAAGGGCCCTTAAAGAACCTCTGTTTGCGAGAATCTGTTTCCCAAGCCTCCTCCCTGGGTCTCCCCAGTGTTTACAGAGACACTTCTTGGGTCACCTCCCCTTCCCATTGAACTAGGAAACCTGGGTGTTGGCTGAGATCCGGGGTTAGAATCCCAGGTACCTTCCTGCCAGGGGTCGGGGAGGCCCAGTGTAGACACCTCCAGACGGGGCCCATTCTGTCCCTCTCCAAGGCCTGCGCCAAGTCAGTTGTTAGTCTACCCTGTTCCGTCTGTACCACGAGTGTCCATCCTTTTGACTTGTCTGGGCTGCACTAAATGAAGAGGAATTGTGTTGGGCCACCTAGAAAATATAGTTAATGTATGTAAGTAACAAAATGTCTTTTAAAAATCTTTTTAACATTTAAAAAAGGAGAGCAACATAAAACTAGTGAGACATTTGACCTTGTTTTTGTGAAGCCAACGCATCGTGTGTGGCTCAGTGAAAGTGGTTGCACTTGGTAATTCTCAAGGTGCTCATCGGAACCGTTTGCTCTAATTTAGTCTTCATCTGCTTCATCCTGAAAATAGTTGTTCACAAACTTGCGCACTGCCAAAAAGTGGTGACATAACTAAGGTGTGGTTGTGAATCTCGGGATGTTTTTCTCTGGGAAGACAGGTCTTATAAAAATCTAGTAGAGACATGTTCAAATTTTTGTTTGAGTTGAATGTCTGATTGCAGTTCTATACATTCCAAAATTTAATAAATAAGCAACCATTTATTTTTCTCGTACTGACAGTATTGTCTAGGTAACAACATCATGAGCAAAAAACTATTTGATAACATCTTTGCAGCTTATTACTGCTGTTGAAAAAAATTTCAATGTAATTATTTTATGAAACAACTCAAAAGGTCCAAGTTTAATAATTAAATCAGAAAACCTACATGTGTGCTTATTAGATGCCTGTCTGCACAGCACACCCACAGGTATAAGTAGGTTGAAATACTATGGCGGTATCAGTAATTGCTGCATTTTACTTACCAAATCTCACCCTGCGTGAGTGGCAAAGCCATGTCCAGGGGATTTATTCGTGTTAGGGATCTGGTAGGAAAGTTGTCTGTGGATTTTCACACCTGTCCCGTGTCTGGAAGGAAAGAAACTGTAGCCTAAATGTCAAGGAAGAGGATGTTCTCCTTGCTTTTGTAGAATCCACCGAAGACAAGGAGTAGCAGAGCCTCCAAAAGGAAGGAAGCGGCTGAAAGTTTACTGTTGCTGGTGGTGGCCTCACTGGCCTGACGCGCAGCTGGGTGCTGGGCACTGCGTGGGAGGCGCGCTGTTCCCTGTTCTCTCTTTCATCTTTGGGTTGAAGTCCGGTGTGAGAAACTAAATACCTTGATGATGAAAGACAGAAAGTGCCTAGAATTTATCATGCAGCACCTCGTTAGGCAATAACCAGTCTGTCTGGTTTGGTACTCTGCTCTAAGGAGACCACAGGAGCAGCATTTCCAGAGCCCAATACAGTCCTGTACCAAAGAGTCTCCTGGTGTTCCTGATACTATCAAGTCACATCATGAAATTGGCTTGGTTTGATCATTCTAAATATGCCCCTGTAACCTCAGAGTGGTGGAACTAAGTTCAGGTGATGAAAGGAAAGAGTAAAATGAAATCTTCCTGCACCCTTGAAGCCAGTCAGCCGAGTGCTGGCACATGTTCAACTCCTGTTTCCCCCAGACCCCTCAGAAGAAGCCCTGGTATTTACTGTGTGCAGATTTCCTTCCTCTCCAGACTCCCACTATAGTCAGTTTTAGGGTGCTGGACTTGAAGTCATGAATGGCAGAGGTGAGTGCAGATGTACACAGAGCCCCAGGCGCCAGTTCCAGGAGTCTGTGGGCTTAATCAGGTGTTCCCTAGAAAGAAATGGTTCGGAAAAGAGCGCTCTTTTCTTAGTCTCTCCCACATGCCATTAATGGTGATTCCGTAGGTTCTTGAGGAAGCACGCACACTCGTGGGAAGGCAGCCACTGGACAGCTGATGGGCACATTATTTAACAGTCTGAAGAGTGGTACAAAGGATGTTTTTTTCCCCCTTCAGTCCCTCTTTCAAATTTTGCTCAGAGCCAAATGTAAAAGGTTTTAGAACAATAGGCCTTCATCCAGAAAGGAGTCTTGCAGGTCACCTGCTTGTCAGTTCTTCCTCCTTCTGCAAATAAGGAACCTAGTCCAGGAGTTAGAGAGTCAGGGTAGGATTGCTGGCTTCCAGTCCAGATTGCAGGAACCTCCAGGCTCCTGGGAAAAGGAGCAAAAGAAAGAAGCTCGTCATCAGCTTTTCAGAGCCTCAGCCAGGCTGATTAGCTTTGTAGGTGGTCCATTTTTGCATCTGCTGCTGCTGTAGCTGACTAGATCCCTTGTCCAAGATGAAGGCGGATGGGCTCTGCATAGCGTAAGGCAGGATATACTCTAAGATTGGGTAGTGTTGGGGCACTGCCACATGGGGCAAGGGCCACCTACCTGCGGGTCCCTGGAGCTCATAAACACATTCCTGAGGCCACCGTCCCTGCCTGCTCTGCTGCTGACAGCGATCCAGCCTAGCGGCCAGCCTAGGGGGTACAGGTTGAATTTACCAGCCACAGGATGACCTAATGTAACTCCTGCTGAGAACCGCAGGATGCCACTCTTCAACAAGTGATGGGAAAGGAAAGGCTTGGACAGACATCCCTCAGATGAGTGGCTGTCCTTAGGAGCACTTCCTGAAAATTAAGGTCTAGGTCACTTAGAAATACATCTGAGTTGTGGATCACCTTGTTATTCTTTCCTACACAGTTCTCCACTTAGACACATGAGAGGGAAATTCGTTAAATTTGCTTTTGATATAATTAAGGGCATTTCTTGGTGCCCTTGTTTACCGCTCTCCACTGTGAAGGTAAACTCTGCTCTAGCCAGAAATTGAAAGGGACTGCGGTTCTCTACTGCATGGTAAGCTGTGAAATACAGTTGAAAGAGGCAGGCGCCTCATTTGTAGGAGGGACGCTACAGTTTTTGTCCAGTTTTCCTCTCGGCCAGCAGCAATGAGGTCTGTTTCTCTAAGCTGGCATCTTCCAGAGGGGAGGATGGGGGTGGGGAAGGAGGGGCGATGTGCTTTACAGCTGAGACTGCAGATGTCTGAGTCAGAGAGTCAGACTAAGATCTTTTCACAAATGTTAAGCACTCAGTGGTGTTTTGCTCATAGTCACCGCGCTTTGGGTGCACGGTGAAGTGTGGGGAGCTAACTGTGTCCTCAGGTGTGTGCTGCTCCCGGCCCCAGGCCGCTGCAGGTGAACACCCTGGGTGTGGTCTTTATGAACTGCCTTCACCTCCTTCCCAGTGCTAGTTTAATGCCTCACAGGCTAGAGCACTGTAGCCCCACATTGGGCTACATGGCTGTGGATTGTCCAGAGAACATTTTTGATCCAAATAATCCGTTCTCTTCCCGTGTCAGCTACCGCTTTCTCTTTACTGGGTGTATAGTCAGGAAAGTGGGTAAGTTACGGTGTTTGCCCAGATCTGGCCTCAGAATCTCTTTCACCCTTAAAATCACTGAGTGACCCAACAAGGTTTTGTTTACACTGATAGTTTCTATTATTATTTACCACCTTAGAAAATAAAGCTGACAGTTTAAAAATGCACATTTGTTCAAAAAAACTGTAATAAACTATATTACAGATAAATCTATTATTAAAAATGGCCAATTTCAAATAAAAGGGAGAAGTGACATTTTTTAAAAAACTCTTTAATGTGTGATTTAATAGAATCACCTGAATTATACTGGGTTCACTCAGTCTGTTTGGTTATTTATTTGAAAAAGAAGGCCAAAGGTGACTTTGTACAGATCTGTAGTTGAAGGGGGAAGGGACTTCACGGACCTCTGAAAGGCCCTTGAAATGTCTCCCAGGTCCTAAGACTGACCACGATTGACAACTGTAGATGCAGAAGAAAGGAAGACCGGAATGAAATGCGTTGTGCAGCATGGACTGGACTACAAAGTCAGATGGGTGGTCGTTCTCCCACCGGTCAGGAGCTGAAGGCCAGATGCCGGGCCACCCCCCACCTGCTGTGGACTTGGGTCCTGTCTTCCTGTGCCGAGTTCCGCCCTGTGTGGAACAGGACATTGCATTTAGAAATCTCAGGAACACACTGAAAAATCTGTTTCAGCTTGGCCAGGCTTGTGCAGGACAGGTTTCTGGCATAAATAAAATCAGTTACCGTCTCTGCACCATCCGTGACTTGCTGCTTTGAGTAGTAACTGCAGAGGGGAGAGCCTGGGGTTCACAGGTGTTTGGTGACTCTAAAAGGCAGTAGGGGTGGTGATGATGGTCATGAGGAGGAATTTGTAACAGCTTTCAGTTCTACATTTTTGTGAGTTCTAAATTTTGTGAAAAATCAGTTACTGGGGTGAAACTTGCCTTTGCCTCTGGAAGTCTATTAGAAAGTGAGATTTTTAGGCTGTGTGGAACATGATAATTAATAGGGTAATGTCGCCCTGTTATGTCAAATATAAGCCATTTTGCGTTGGTGCTGCAGAACTGTGTGCATGCCCCTCTTTGTCTGCTTAAAAGCTGGGTTTCAGAGCGTCTGGTGTAGCTGCAGACCTTTGCCCATGATTGAGCTTCTTCAAAGCAGCCCCTCACGTCAGGTGTTGCCCATGTGCTCCCAGTTCTGCCAAGCAGGCCTTCTGCCCATTGTAAAGGAGAGGAAGCCAAGGCTCAGAGAACTAATTTTTATTCAGAGCTGCACCTGCCACAGATGGTGCTAGGAATACCATTGAAATGCCCCTCAGAGGGTTGGCCTTTGTATAAGGGATACTAAAGGTAATTATTGGTGAAATGTATGATGTTCAAGGTCTGTGGTTGGTTAGCAAAGCATCCAGGCCCTGCCACCAGTGACTGGAGCAGAACGTGAGGCCAGTGCCTGTCAGCCTCGTGACTCCATGCTCTGTGGAGCATCAAGGTGACCAGACCATGGGTGGCCTGGCTGGCCGATTTCCACAGTGTCCCCATCCAAGAAGTGATTGTCAGAGGCTGAGGACAGAGCCCATGAGAGGCTGCGTGTGACTCCTTCCTATAACTTGTGAATAATAAGAGTCATGTGTTTGGCAGAACGTGGCCTAAGGTTTGCTTTGTTTTCATGATATACCATGGGGAGCAAGGCTGTAGGAAGGTGGCTGGAGCTACTACCTCTGGACTGCTTAGGGCTTCCTCTCCCAGATAGGGTGCATCATTTGCAGGGCCTATTGCAAAATGAAAATGCAGATGTCCTTGTTCAAAAATTAGGAATTGCAAAACAAGATGATAGGACACTAACAGTGGTTGTTAAATTGCATTGTTAATTTCCTGTCATCTTGTTTTGAAATTCTGTATTGTTTTTAATGTTTTTTACAATTTTTTATTCTCTTTAAAAAAAAGGAATTCCAAGGTAGTGACAGCAGAGCATTAAACCCTCCATGAGGCCCTTCTAAACACAGCCAGCCTGACCGCACAGGACACACACCTACGAAGCTGGCGCTGCCCCCACACCTGACACTCCAGTGGCCAGATTAGTACAGTGTCCTTCCCAGCTGGCCAAGCCGTGTTGTAAGGGTTAAGAAAGATCATGCGCGTGAAATCCCAGCACTGGGGCTGCTAGGGCAGGAGGATCACTGTGAGTTAAAGGCCCACCTGGGCTACAAAGTGAGTTCTGGGCCAGCCTGAACTGCATAGTGGAACCTTGTCTCAAAAAGGAAAAAAGAAAGCGAGGGAGAAGGAAGGAAGGGAGGGAGAGAGGGAAAGAGAAAAGAAAAGCCGCTTCTTCGACAGGGCCAGTTGGTGTGAGCTCTGGCTTCTCTCAGAGGTACCACCTACCCTGAGGGGGTGTCTGATCGGTATAAAAGATCACATTGGCTGCTTAAATTTGAAATTACAAACCCAAACAACAGGCCCTTTCCTGGCATTCTCATATGTCACGTGACTCCTATGGCCTCTCCCTGTGGCATGAGCTTGAGACCCCAGGAGAAGGGCGTGCCTTCTGGACAAGGGCCTGAGCAGACCGTGCAGAGGCAGGGAGGGCTCCATCGGCCTGGGAGCTAGTGCGGTAGTGCAGTGGAAGGGATTCTAGGTGTTTTTGAGAATTGGAGGAAGCAGTGTACTTGTCCTTAAAATATAGTGGGTTCAAATTGAGATGTGCTGTCAG